ATTATGATCAACAATGAAATAATTAATAAATCGCTAAACTTATAAAAATGCATACACTAAATATGTACACCTGTTGGGTATAATAATATGCATTATTATGTCCATAAAATAGGTATTATAAATATGTAAACTAGTATTATAAGTATTACGCATTGTCCGATCTTTTTTTAATAAATTTACATTACATATACATAATTAGGTTTGCATAATTGACGATTATTCAAATGCTGCATAAATTAACTATAAACATGTAAACTGTTCTCATTTCTTTTTGAAAAAAGACATACCTAAAACGTAGAAATACACAAATAATTAAAAAACTTAAAATAGCAATGACGGGAACAGTCTTGGTCTTGCTAATTAGATCTTGGTTTTGGTCTTTTTGTTAAGTTCTTTTAGTAATTCTTCTAAGCACAAATTTTTCTATTTATCTACAGTGGATTTCAGGTATAACGACAACGAAGGGACCAGTGTAATTTCGTCGTTGCAAGCAAAAATAAAGGAGATACAGACACACACGTATACTTTTTCAATTTTGAAACGATTTCCGCCTTTTTTAACAGTAAATGTACATCTAGAAGTCATACTTATTCAAAAGTTTTTTAAAAACAGTAGCTACTCAGAATATCACTTTGTAACTGAATCATTTCAACGAAACAAACGGTAAAGGTCACTACACTTGCTGATCATCTGTGAGGATGTAAATAAAAGCGAAGAAAGCTTTTTGTGTCGCTATATCTGCATCGGATTACAAGGGATTTGTTACAAATGATTCATTAAAAACAGTCGCTACACCCGAACTCGGTGTTACATCCGAAGTCGCTAAAGCCACACAGGAATTTACTACTAAAGTATGCTTTAAATTCATGGGACTTATATATATAACGTCGCTATAGCACAATTGTCGCTATAACCAAGGTCGTAATAAATGAAATCCACTGTACACAATAATCGCCTCAAATGCTGAAATTTTCTTTTATACGTACGAGCTTGTCATGACTTTCAAAAGAAAATGGTGTCGATAGGTGTGAGAGTTATGGAAACTCGAGAACATACCCTTCCTCCTATGCACAAATTGACCCTTGCTACAAGGAATAAATTGACCTTTCAGTGAACAAAATAAGTACAAGGTACTTGAAAGAAGAAAGAAATATCGAAAAATAATTGGTCTCTACATTTCAACCAAGTGTTATCCAGACAGGAACAAGGAACACCTACTCCAGGGATATTCTTGAAGATCCCTTTTATCACCGGAAGTAATAATTTTTTATTTGGTCTTGGTTTTGCACATTCAATCTTGGTTTTAGTCTTGGTCTTATTCTTTCGATCTTGGTCTTATTCTTGCTAGTATAAATACAGTCTTTGCCTTGGCTTCGCATTTGAGCAAGACCAAAAGCAAGACTGAAAGAACAAGACCAATTTTGCTCATCACTACAAAAGTTTGAATAGCTTCCACTATATGAGAAATTGTGGAAAACATTATAAATTATGATAAAACTCAAAAATTACTTTCTCATTTACAAACTGTACTGCTTGTAAGATGAAAAACCTAAATTATTCTGGATTAAAAAGCGTAACTTTTATAGAAAATAAACAATGGAATGTTTCATTCAGAACCCGAATCAGTTAAACATCAGTGTTTATATTCGATGAACCAATGTGTCGTCTGTCGTCTAAGGTCTTCTTCAAGGCAACTGAATCGTTAATTCACGTGAATGAAGCAGTATTGTTTCATAACATACTAATACGACTATCAATTTTAAATCAAAATTGTGAAATTGCATTATTCCTTCAACTGTCTTTCAAAATTAATTCTATTTAGTTAAAAGTAGAGAAAAAAAAACTTTTGGGTGTTTCATTAATGCTGGTGGGCGGGCAGTCCCTCTGGACTACTCTGGAAGGTAGGGCAGAAGGTCCTCTTCAGCATCCTTTCAGGAATAGTGAGAATAGGTGGGTGGTGGTTGGGGTGAGAAAGATGAGTCGGACGATGAAATGAAGGCAGAAAATAATGAAATCTGTGGAAAATCACTGGCCCAACATTTGTCTAGATATTCGTTTTTTTGTGGAATTATGTTAGTACTACCGACATGTTAGAAAAACGGTTTTCGAAGAGTAATTTTTCCAGAAAACCGGTTTTAACCGGTTTCGAATTTTTATAAAAAGATTTTTTGCTCGAATATTCTGTAATTCGAACAAAAAATTTTAACAGAAAATTTAGAGTGATTAAAAGCAGTTTTTGACTGAAATTATTTACTGTTCAATATTATTGATAGTAAAATTTTTTTATGCAATTTAGTAGAACAAAGAAATAATAGTTGACCAGGATTAAATAACTTTAAAAACAATAATTCGTTGTTTATGCATAATTTTCACATATAAGGATGTAAATATTTTTATAATAG